ATATTAAAAGTTTGTTTAGCCATTATCATTGGAAGTCTTTATTTTCCGTCATTAAGTAACTAAAAAAAATTCAATTTTTCCCCCAAAATCCGCGCTGCTTTTCCCGTGAATTTCTCGTCAAGTAGTAAGTAAATTAAAAAAAGATTACCATTAAAAGAAACTAATTAATTATGTCTGAATTTGACCAAAAATTGACCTGCCATTTTTAAAAAATGATAAATCTTTTTATATATATAGATAGATTCCCAAATGCGCTGAGCCAACGTGGCTGATTCTGATATTTCGGAATCCTACTTGTCGAAGAATCATTCTTCGTAATTAGGTTTGGACAAATAATATTGATATATTAATAATTAATAATCTAGGTTCGGACATTCCATAAATATTATTTAGTTAGCTTAGGTATTTCAATATCACTTGTACTATATAACCCTTTAATTATTTGTAATTTTACATAGTGAGACACTAAGTGTGTGTTTGGAAACACTTTTGAAATGGGCTTCTAGACTTAAAAGTCCATCTGAATAATTTTAGGGTGTTTGGTGATATATATTGAATGCACTTTTGAGAAAAGTCACTTCTCAATAAGTCCATTTTGTAGAAGTGAGAATTAGCTACTTCTAAAATCTATTTCACAATTATTCCCAATAAGTAACTAAAGCACTTATTTTAAATGAGATTCACCAAACATATGTGAAAATTGTGTAAGAACTTTTGTAAATGCACTTAATGAAAAGTCCATTTTTAAGATGGACTTTTGTAGAACAAGTGCTCCCAAACAAAGCCTAAGTGACTAATATATCACTGACTTTTGATTTGCTTCCTTCAATTAACTATTGAATTGTAAATGTATTTTAAAAGTTGATAACTTTTTGTATTTTTTATCGGTTTTACATATATAATATATCAAATTAATCATCTTTTGATGATCTCCGATTTGACGTCCATATTGTATATATGAAATAAATAAATTATATTTCTTTATAAAATAAAAAAATAATAATATTTATTAAATTTATTAGAAAAATAAATTATTTCTCAATTGATATATTTACGTTTAATGTAGTTATATGTTTTAAGTTAAAATAATTATTATAATATAACACAGGTAAGTCGCACAAGTAAAAAGTATCATACTAAATATATAATAATATATATTTTTTATAAAATGTATTTAAATTCAACTATTTTTTCTCATTAATTTTAGATTTTAAGAAAAAAAATTAGTAAGTACTCGTGTAATACACGAGTGTTGTACTAGTAAAATTATATAAATCAATACAAGCAGGGGCGAATTTACACTACATGCTATGGGGCAATTGCCCCCCCTCAAATTTTATTTTTTTTACTATTAATATTACAAATTTTAAATCCCCCTTTGAATTTTATTTTTGCAACCCTTGATTTTTTTTTTAAAACGTCACTCACCATGCTAACTTTTCCACAATTGCCAATTAACAATTCAACACTTCTTTTATTTTACTATTAATTTTTGTAAATTAATTATAATCCTTCTATAATTTTAATTGACCCATATAAAAAACTTCAACTCTCTTTTACCACCAAGGCTAGGGCCGGTATTTTTTGACCGAAAATAAAAAATCGAACCGAACCGAACGATGAGAGAATAAACCGACCCGAACAGACTTATTTGTAAGGGTAACCGAAAATCGGTTACCGAAATATTATCAATTCAGTATCGATTCTAAACTCATTATGTCATTTCTTTTGCCCCCTCTAAACTAATTTTCTGGTTTCGCCGCCCAGCCAACTCTACATTCTCTATCTAATATCTATCCAAAACTTGTGACAAATCATTGATCACTGTATTCTCACTTCATTTTCTGAAGCATCAACTAGAGCTCTCAGATGGCGGCTTATGCAGCTGTGCTTTCTCTGAAGCATACCATAGACCAAATCCAAACTCATCCTTCCCCTCCAATTTCTCTCCACTTTACACAGCTTCAATTCTTTACTGAAAAACTCATTTTCTTGCAAGAGTTTCTCGAGAATCATTCAATTGATGCAGAGGGTTTGGAGGGTCGTATAGCCGACGCAGCTTATAAAGCAGAGGATTTAATCGAATCCCATATAGTCCATCAAATTCAAGCTGCAACTGCCACTAATGAGGGCAAATTCATCAGGTTCATTAGAGTCTTTCGAGGCTTATGCAAAGCCACGAGTTATGAAGAAAATTTCAGTCCCATCGACTTGAATTATGGTCTACAGAAAGTGATGCAAGACTTGGATTTGATCAAGGGAGACGTTGTGGAGATTATGAAGCAGAAAAGAACACAGGTGGAAAGAAATCTTTCGGTTCCAGCTGGCCGGCCGAGATCTCCTCCCGGAACGCAGGCTTCCATGGTGGGTCTCGATGATATCTTGCTTGAAGCCTTGGATAAGCTGACCGGACAACAATCGAGTCTCCAGATCATCCCCATTGTCGGCATGGGTGGCATTGGTAAGACCACTCTTGCTAACAATATATATGCGAATGCGCTTATTGTGCAACACTTTGATTTTCGCGGTTGGGCTACGATTTCTCAAGAATATGATTCAAAAGAGATTCTTGTAGAAATCCTTGTCTGCCTCAAAACTGTTTGGAGCAGGGAACAATTGGGACAAATGGGGGAGCATGAATTAGGAGAAAAACTATACAAAAGTTTATCCGGTCGAAGGTATTTGATTGTGTTGGATGACATGTGGAGCATCGAGGCGTGGGATAGGATTAAGTTCTTCTTTCCCGATTACAATGATGGAAGTAGAATAGTAATAACCACTAGGCTGTCAAACCTGGCTCGTGAGTTGAGCGGTTCTTGTGGCCTTGAGGTTGGTTTTCTGGATGAGTATAACAGTTGGAACTTGTTCCGGAGAAGTGTATTTGGAGAACATGACTGCCCTCCGGATTTGGAAGAATTTGGATTGCAGATTTCGAGAAACTGCAAAGGCCTTCCATTTTCGATCGTCGTGGTCGGTGGACTCCTTGCAAAGTCCAACCAAACACGAGAGAACTGGCAGTATATTGCAGAAAACTTGAATTCAGTGGTGAATTTAGATGAGAATGAAAGTTGCTTGAGAATACTGCGTTTGAGCTACAATCATTTGCCGGTTCATCTAAAGCCGTGTTTTCTTTACCTGGGAATATTCTCCGAGGATGATTTGATCAGTGTCTCCACACTCGTCAAGCTGTGGGTTGCTGAAGGGTTTCTAAAACCGATTAGTGATAAAACCCTGGAGGTAGCTGGCAGAGAGTACTTGAAGGATCTTTCCGAAAGAAATCTCGTTCTAGTTCATGAATTGGGGTACAAGGGAAATATAAAACATTTCAGAATCCATGATCTCGTGAGGGACTTGTGCATAAAGGAAGCTGAGAAGGAAATGTTCTTCAGTGTGGCAACAACACATGGTCCTAATTGGGGGCAATGGCACGCTCAACGCCGAATAGGTATTCATAGACGAGAATCGAGTAGCAACAAACACATCACCTCTGAAGTTCGTAACATCGCACGATCTGCAACACTCGCTCGTTCTTTGATATGTAATGTCGACCGATTACGCCCTTCCCCATTATTGAGGGTGTTCCATCGGACCCAAACCCAATACTATTATGTTCCGGGATACACATATCCTTTAGAAGACATCTTTCGCCTGGTCAACTCGCGCCACCTCGTGGTCCCGGCCCGGTTACTGAAGACCGGCCGGTTGACTCCTTCATTCTACCATCTTTGGAATTTACAGACTTTACAACTTGATTATGTTCATATTTATCCATTACTAGTCGACATCTGGCGGATGCCTCGACTCAGGCACGTCAACATCTTTAAATTCCATTTGGCTGATCCCCCGACCGGCCGTGATGATTCGGAAGTCCTTTGGGACTTACAAACGCTGAAAACCGTATTGATTTCTAATCGGGTCGAGGAGATGGTGAGGAGAATCCCTAATCTGAAGAAGCTGAACCTGAAGGTACCATACACTATTTACTTGTCCCGTGTCGATTATGGGCTCGATAGTTTATACCGGTTGCGTAAGCTCGAATCCCTTTGTTGCAACTTCTATTGCGCTCAAGATCCAGTCAACCATTCCCATGACCTGGCTCGAGGCCTCATTTTCCCGATTTCCCTAAGGAAGTTGACTTTAGAAAACTCCAGCCTCGTCTGGGATGACCTGGCAGCCAAAGTCGGCCATCTGCCTCATCTTCAGGTGCTTGTGCTGAGATGGGATTCGTGCAAAGGACGCAAGTGGGTAATAGTCGAAGGCCTGTTTTGTAGCCTCAAAGTCTTGAAAATTCATTCGTGTAGTGAGTTGGTATACTGGACGATGGAGATCTGGGCCCACTTACCGTGCCTTGAGCACCTCGTTCTCAACTATTTGCCGAATCTAAAGGCGATTCCTTCGGAAATCGGAAATATACCAACATTGAAATCGATTGAGTTGTCGCATTGCAGTGACTCAGCCGTAGTATCAGCTGAGGAGATAGCTAAGGAGCAAGAGGAGCTCGGGAATGAGGGCCTTCGTGTCAGAGTTGTGCTTCGCGATAAGAGCCAAGTGTTACAGAGACTTGGCAGCCTGGCTAGTGCTAACTTTCAAGTCGAAATATGAGCTGTTGGTTTAACTTTTCATCAATGAGTAGAGGTCGGGAGGTCGAATACCTACGTGTTCCTTGCATTTGTATGCCTTAATAGCAATAGAAACAAAATTTGTTCTTTCACCCAGTTATGTTCACAAGAATATGAAAATCACAACAACAAAAAGGAAGAAAGGGAATGAATGAATTATTATTAGGCAGAAGAAACATTAAGAAACTTGAGTGAGAAAAGTGTTTGGTGCAAGAGACAAACACATAGCAGCAGCAGCATCATTAGGAGATTCAGCATATCTCCAATTCTCTCTACAAATAAATAGGACTAAAAAGAATTACAATTTTTTTTTTTTTTTCCTATAACAAGACACACACACTTGAACTGATATACTTGTTATTGGGGGGCTTTGCTTTGTCCTCAAACTCCAGCAGCTTTTCCCAATCTCTCTCTCAAAATCTTCACTCCCATGTACCTGCCAGCAATCATGCATTTTCTAAAATGAAAAAAGAAAATATATATATAGTGATTTAAAACTCGAATAATATAAAAAAATTTGTACCGGCCCATCATCATGACAGTGGCCTGAGGATTAGTCCCTGGCGACTCCCTAAAAGTCGAGCCATCCACCACACGGAGCCTTTCGACCCCAAGAACCTTGTAATCCGAGTCCACCACCTGGCCCACGTGGCAACCTCCATGATAATGCCAGATTGTAATAACAGTGTCCTTACAAAACTGCTCGAGGGACTTAGCATCGTTTGTATGCCTAGGAATAAGATTCACGTTCGCCTCAACGCTCATGTTTATGAGCTTGTCCACCACGTCCCGATCGAGCTGCGTGTAGCTGGCAAAGTGCTTCGTCATCAGCATTTTCTTGATCGTCCGTATGCCGTCCACACAACGCTCCACGTCCTCCGGGTGGCTGAAGTAGTTGAAGGTGATGGAAGGGTTATCGTCCACATTGGTGTTGAGAAGGGAGATTTGACCTTTCGAACGAGGGCTCGCGATTTTCTCGAGTATGAAGCCGCCCTTGAAGGCCTCGTGTGGGAGGCTTCTCTTTCGTTTTCGGTAGTTGTGGATCGACTCGTGGGACCTTTGCTTCGGTGGGACTGTCGACAGCTGGCCGATCTGTTGTAAAATCACGAATGTAAGTTACAGAAACACTCCTGTTATTTGACTCAAAAGTTCAAAAGAAAGGGGAAATTATAAGGGTAAAATGCGATTTCAAAGGGGTAACTTTCAAGATCAGCACCAACTCTTACGCAATTTTGAAAATAAATAAATAAATACTTTTTTCTAAGATCTTGTACTTACCTCAGCCGAAGCAATTCCATGATCGCAATGTATACTATCAGATGACTGTCCAAAACCACTGCTGGCCTCAATGTACACTCCCAGCTTCGTAATTCCCACAGTTTGTATCAAAGATTGCTTGACAGGTGTTTTACTCGGCACGAATATCGTGTTGAGGGGGTTATCGGACATTTCCTTCCCCACATGTTCGTTATCAAGAACAACTGGAATACCGAATTTCTCCAGCTCAGCTTTTGGGCCAATGCCGCTAAGAAGCAAAAGGTGAGGGCTCCCGATTGCACCAGACGAGACTATGATCTCACTCCCAACTCTGTTTGAGAGATATGCTTTGTGCATATTTCCTTTTTCGTCCTTGAACGTAACTCCAATTGCCCGAGGCTTTTCCCCTATAATTAAATGCCCGATAGCTTCATCATATCAGGTGAAAAGTTTCATTTTTTTTTTTAAATTTTTCAGTTATTCGGCACTTTTTTGTTTTATTTTCTGCATTATTTTTTTTCTTTTGGGACTTACCGGTCGTATCGAAATCGATTTTCTGAACCGTAGCATGAACCAAAACGTTGAGATTTTCGGGATTAGCCGAGGCGAGAAGCTCTGCTGCCGTGTGGCGCCTTCCGAACCTGTCGAAGATGGTCCCACCCACTTTAGTTCCATACAAGTGATCGTAAGTGAATCCATTGAAAGGCGAAATCCCGATTTCTATAAGGCTATCTCTGACTGTTTTCTGCCAGGGCACAAGGTCTGGCCGGTGAACGATTTGATTCTCGACCCAAGGGTAGGACTCGTTCACGAGCTTAGCGTCCCAACCGACCTTCTCAACATAGCTGCAAAACCCCAGAAGTTCATTTCAGCATTATAATTAGTAATAAGTGATGAATAAATATATATTAAAAAGAATCATGTCCAGAAGGAGTGTTCGTGGTCTATCAAAAAAGTCCTTTTCTTTCAATGATGTGGGATATGATCTCCTATTCTTACACTTTCGTCTTCCATTTTTATTAGATGAATGACATGTGTACAAATATGACATCATCATTTACATGTGTCATTCATCCAATGGAATGAAATACGAAATGGAACACCAAAGCAGAACAGTATATACAAAGAAGCAATAATTCTTCTTCTATCAAAAAGAAAATTTTCTCCACAAATCACTTGAGCTAAAGTTGATTCTCAATATGACCGAAAGAACTTTTATGGAAATTTGAATCTACCTAAAAATTAAAGGTATATTGATTGCAAATTTGGTTAATAATGACAATGTGTTAATAATAATGGGAGATGCTACAGTCCCGTTACGGAATCATCCCGTCGGGGTATGTAACCGTTAGATCAATTATCTCCGACGGTTACATGATGATCTAACTATTACAAACCCCGACGGAACCGTAACGGGACCGTAGCATTTTCCTATAATAATAACAATAAATGATTTAATAATACAAAAATATTATCTACATTAAATGCCAATAGTATTTGAGTAGTTCAAATAGCATAAATGAGGTTCAATCTCTATTCTTCCTTTTAGTAGTTGCTTGTTTCCCCACTTGTATTGATGAGCCTTTGTGTCTACCTAACAAATCACATGCTAAATAAATAACACCAACACAAAACAAAAAATTATCATTACTATAAATAGAAAAATTTTGGCAAGTAACCTTTCATTGTTCCCTATATATTAATTTGGCCAAATGCAATTTATTACATGGTTTTTATAGTCATGATTGTATTCAGTGGTACAGTCACATGCATAGCTTAATTGTAGTTAAAAGATTTCAAGATTATAATGTGTGAAAAGCAATGAATGTCATGGAAACAAAAACAACAAATTCTATGTAGTTGTTGATAATAATGTCACAAAAACCAAAATAAAACTATGTTGAAAAATGAGACTAAACATGGAGCAATAGTCCAAAGCTAGCTAGCAATTATTTTTGTCTTCTCTAAATTGTTTATTTATATAACATAGATTAAGACCACACATCTACTTTTAGAAAATAATTCACCTTTATAGTTTGAAACTAATCCCTAGTTAGGTGTAGATTAGGATTTATAACTACTTTAGTTCATTCATTAGTTGAAACTCCAAACTCTCTTGAAATGCCATTGTTGAGAGGATGGCAAGGTACTTTGTTTTTTACGGCGAGTAAATACACGAAGCATCCTTATATTTATCGAAATTTGCACGTTTTTCCTCCATTCCGACTAACAATGACATAATTTTGTGTGTTTTTGTTAACTGAAATTATTGATGACGAACGAATTTGGACCACAATATTTCAGTTTCGAGCCTGTCGGATCAATACTCGCTCGCCCGCACGAGCGTATAGTATCGAATTAACCCACAATGTGATATCATAACTAGCTAAACTGTCCCATTTATCCCAAAATCACAAAAACAAAAGGAACAACACCACATTTATCCCAAAATCACAACACAACAACACCACCAATAATAATAATAATAATAATAACGTTTGGTGGGAGGTTGTACCTTGCGCTTGCGCGGGTGTAAAACCCAGCATTGATGCAGGTGCCGCCGCCAAGGACCCTCGCCCGGGAATTGAAGACCCCGTCGGTGGAGACGAACATCTGCGACGCCGACGTCGGCGAGATGTCGGCCAGCGTGATGTGGAAGTTCCTCATGAAGGAGACGTTCGCGTTGGCGAAGGGGGTCCCGCCCCGCTCCAGCAGCAGCACCGTGTAGTTCCGGGACAGCGTGGCGGCGAGAGGGCACCCCGCCGTGCCCCCGCCGACGATTATGTAGTCGTACGCCGGCGGGGGCGAGAACGAGCTGGCGGGGCCGATGAAGGGGTACCGGTACTGGGCTGGGTGGTCGTATTTTACACCTGCAATTTGTGCAGCAAAAAATTGTACATTGGATTTTAGGGCAGAGAAATTGAAGGCATAAAAGCTTAAGACATATTCTTGGTTCACTGTGCTTTTTTTTTTTTCTTTTGGGTTTCTGCATTGTTCTTTATAGTTGGAGATTGAGGAAATTTGGAGAAAAAAAAAAGTTATGAAAATTGAATTTTGACCAAAAATTGGGAGAAAATCTGAAGAAAAAAAAAATGATCTTGGGCAATAAAAGAAAAATGGGAAAATATGAATACATTATTTCGCCAAAAGGAAAAATATAAATACAAAGGAAAAGATTACAGTCCCGTTACGGAATGGTTTCGTGAAGAATTTCAGTAGTTATATATATGCAAATTAGTTATCTTAGATAATCTATGGCTAAAATCTCTCGCGAAAACATTCCGTAACGGGACTGGGAGTGTAGTTTTTTCCAAAAACAAAAGTGATAAAAATTGAATCTTTGGCCAAAAAGGAAGAAAGAATGTGATTAAAAATGGAATCTTTGGTCAACAGGTGAAGAAAATATGATAAAAATTGAATCTTGGACTTTTAGAAATGGGGGAAGAAAACAAAGAAACAAGGACCATTTTGGGTTCCTAGGTCCTACTATAAGACATTCTTGAATTTATACATTACTAAAAAAAAAAGGGAGATATCATTAAGACTTCAAAAAAAAAAGCTTGTTAGCACAAAAGAGAGAGAAAACCAGCCATGACTCAAGAAAAAACATAGCCATTGTGAATTAATTTTTTTTATTGTTTTTGGGTGTGAAAAAAGAAAAATTGATACAAATATTGGGAAAAAATGAGTCTTGGACCAAAAAATGGGGGAAAAAATCAAAGAAAAAACAAAAAAAGAAGAGAAAACTACACTAAGGACCATTTAGGTTCCTACTATAAGACATTCTTGAATTTTTTACTTCAAAAAATAGGGACACATATGAGCACTTCAAAGAATGCTTATTAGCACAAAAGAGAAAGAAAATCAGCCATGTCTCAATAATAATAATAGTAAAAAATGTGTTTTTTTTTCCTTTTTTTTTTAGGAAAAATGAACAAAAAACTAAATAAAAATAGAGAAAATGAGAACTATAGAGAAAAAAATGAACCTTGAGAGAAAGTGAGCACAATGCAAAGAAGAAGAAGAAGAAGAAGATCCAAATAAAAAGCTGCACAGTAGCCACCACCACCACCACCACCGCCAACCAAAGCCATCATTGGGAATCAGCCACACAAAAACAAATGTTAAATAATTAAAATAAAATAAAATACCACTCACACACACAACACACACACACACACACACACTAGCTCAATTCAATTTCTTACTGAAATTAAAAAATAAAAAAAATAAAAATAAAAATAAACACTCTTTTGTGTCTAAATTCTTCTTCTTGATGTGGCTCTCTTTGGTTGGCCTTATTCTTTGTGTACTAAAAACACAGAGACAACACAGATCCACACACACTTATATATATATATATAT